TCTCGCAGGACCCCTTTATCAGGCATGTGAATCTGAAAGCCCCCTTTAACAAGAGAGACCTCAGATCCCATTCCCCACCCTTGTTGTTTACTGGTTAAGGATGCCATCAGACACCTGCTCCTTAACAACCAGCTAAATAAAAACATAACAAAATAAAAAGTATCAAAAACAGGTGTAAAAAAAAAATAAAAAAACACAAAATGCACCCGGAAAATGCATCAAACACAATCTGCATAGATATGAACCTAGTCTAAAAGCACCAAACTGGGGAGAGGGCAAAAGAGGTAGGTGGTTGTATGACAGGGTGGTTGCATTGAAGTTGTTTGCTACAACCTAAGGTCCTGTGTCTATATATTGTGGCCTTGTCTATAAATTGTAAATTGGTAAATCATGTCATATTTTACATAATTGGTAAAAATAAATCAAATATTCATACATACATAGCTTTCTCGGAAAATGTCAGCAGCAGTAAATAAATATAAATTCCTTTGCTGGAAGATGAATACTTGTCAAAGGGATGGCTATCACTACCGAATATTGAATGTCATCTCTAGGGTAACATAAATGTGAACTGCACAGCCAGAAGTCAATGGCATGCATATTAACAATGGCAATCAAAAGAAAATGACTGGAGAAACAGCATCCAGTTTGAGAATGTCTCACGAAATAATAATCCAAACAGGGTGACATCACTGATTTCCTAAAATAGAAGTGTGAACTGACAGCTCCTCATAGAACAAAGTTTTCAGACTTCAGAAGTGTCAGCTTAATTTGTACAGCAAATGGACAAGGCTCGGTCCTAGATATGATCTTAATTTGGCTCCGCACTATCCAAAGAATCACTGCAATTCCAATGTGCTGAACTATCTAAGGAATCACTTGGACTATAAGTGGGTTCTGTTTGTAATACATGAATATGTCATGAGCAAGAGTGTAATTTTATGCACTCTTGTGTATGTTGTAAGAAAAATCCAGTGGACCTCACAGAAGCTTCTATGCAAATAGGGACTGCATTGGTTTAGGGCAGTGGTGGGCAACCTTTTTTTTCAACTGAGCCAAATCTCGCCAAAACCACGATTGAAATTTATTTTGAGAGCCAAATTTTTAAAACTGAAAATACATAGGATGGTACACTGTTTTTAGTTTCAATAAGTTTTTATAGTAATTCATCCCCCATATAGTAATTCATCCCCCATAGTAATTCATCCCCCATATAGTAATTCATATCCCCCATAGTAATTCATCCACCATATAGTAATTCATCCCCCATATAGTAATTCATCCCCCATATAGTAATTCATCCCCCATATAGTAATTCATCCCCCATATAGTAATTCATCCCCCATAGTAATTCATCACCCATATAGTAATTCAACCCCCATAGTAATTCATCCCCCATATAGTAATTCATCCCCCATAGTAATTCATCCCCCCTATAGTAATTCATCCCCCATATTAATTCATCCCTCATATAGTAATTCATCCCCCCTATAGTAATTCATCCCTCATATAGTAGTAGTAAGTAAGTAGCAAGTAGTAAGCCAAGTCCCCCCTGTGTCAATTCACTTACCTTTGCTCCGCGCGTTCCTCTCGCCGTGTTCCCGCGCCGTTCCGGTCTTCAGGGCGGACTGTGAGAGAAGCCTAGCTCCTCTCACGTTCGTCACGCTGCCCCGCCTACACACATCCTGACAGCCAATCACTGGCTATCAGGATGTGAGTGGCAGCGAGACTGGCCAATCATTGCATTTGAGCGCGCTGCCCTGGCTGTTTTTTTTTGGATCACGCTGCAGAGTCCCTGCCGCCCGAGAGGAGGGAGGGGAGCAGGCGCCCGGCACACAAGAGCCGCATTAAAGCGTGTAAAGAGCCGCATGTGGCTCGCGAGCTGCGGCTTGCCGACCACTGGTTTAGGGTACTGAAAATGGCATTGTGGAATGGGACATGCCTTCTCTCCACAGACCCCCAAAAATGAAATGGTGTGCTGCCAGCAGAAGGTTTTTTTCAGCATGTGTATTTTCTCACACTTACACACAGATTTATTTATTTCAGGTGCTTATATAGCGCTGTCAATTTACGCAGCGCTTTACATATATATATATATATATATTGTACATTCACATCAGTCCCTAACCCTCAAGGGGTGTACAATCTAAGGTCCCTAACTCACATTCATACATACACATACTATGGACAATTTAGACAGGATCCAATTAACCTACCTACATGTCTTTGGTGTGTGGGAGGAAACCGGAGTACCCGGAGGAAACCCACGCAGGCACAGGGAGAACATGCAAACTCCAGGCAGGTGGTGCCCTGGTTGGGATGCGAACCAACGACCCTAGTACTGCCAGGCGGAAGTGCTAACCACTAAGCCACTGCGCTGCCCGTAGCTCATTTTGATATTTTGGTACGAGTAAAGGCAGGGCTGCTGTTAAAAAACACAGGGCCGCATACAGGCAGGCTCCCTCCCCCCACAGTTTACTATACTTCAGTTATGAAAAAACACAGTGAAGGATCACAACCGATCACTTACTGTGTTCATGAAGGAAACAAAGGGACTGGTAAATGTGACATATTTACTGGGCCCTTCCTCCACTCTCTATCCACAAGGATCCTATTTTGTGCTTGCAGCTGCAGGTGGAAAGGAGAGGAGGGAGGTTGGCAGCACTATGGGGGTGAGGGCACACAGGGGGGCCTGGATAACAGGGGAAAATGCATAGTGCAAAGGGGAGGGTGATGGGTGTAGTGGGGGGAAAATACTGGAACTGATCCCCTATATGGCTCTCTCTGCAGCAGCTGCCAGCGGGAGGGACAGGAGAAGGAGACAGCTTTCAGCTGCTGCAGAGAGAGCCATACAGGGGATCAGTTCCAGTAATTGCACCCCCTGTTGTGTCCATCACCCTCTGTGCCGACATCCAATTCACCCAGCTGCCTGGGTCCCCTGCTGGCCTGGGCCCTGTACAGGAGGACTGGTGGTACACCCTTATCCACGGCCCTGAGTACATGTACGTTCAAAGTGACACAACAAGACACCCACTAATACCTTTCTAAGACAGCATATTCTGTGCCCCTCTGATAGGTTTCAGTTACATATGCCCTGCCTTGACGCCTGAAATTTTACCAACTACCATTCCACAATCCAATAAGATTGCCCTCAGGGCCCAGAAAGGCACCTTCAATGCAAACAGGAATTGTAGCTGATGGTGCTTACATATAAAGGCAGGGAAAATTAAAAATGGAGTACAGGTTCCTAATAATTAAAGTGTTACTAATCCCAGGGCCCTGCATTCACTATATCTGGTCTCCCACAGTAAACAGAACATGGAAGTACAATTATTTTAGTAAATATAAACTGCTATATAGCTTTTCTCATCAGCAGTATAGAGCAGTCTTGTGACTACCATAAGTGCCCAGCAGAGCACGTTAAAGCTTTTAGGAGGAGTTTTTCATTTTGCTCTAAGAGGCTGCAGGACCCCTGACTCTCTGTCTGGACAGTGCTGATTGGCCCAGTACTGATCACATGCACCACTCTCGCAAGAAAAAAAAATCTCTAGCAATACACACCAAACTGAACATGAGCAGAGTGCCTCCACACAATATGTCTTATCAGGAGATAATTAGGAGGACACTGCAAGAAGGGGAGGCTCAGAGAAGTCAGGCTCAAACAGCATTTTTACATAATGCAGAGGATTAACCCCTTAAGTTCCACAGTGAGTATAGCAAGCATGCTTTACTGCATATACAGACTGATTTTACTGTTGTGGGGTTAGTAACACTTTAAGGCCATTTATAGATGTATTCTTATAGATGTACTGCTTATATAAGTTTATTATAAAATCACTTCATAGAATAACATTTTATAGCTTGAATTGTGAAAAAATTGTCTTAGCCTCCTAAAATATCAAGAGACATAAAGCTGAACTCTGGACAAATTTTATTTTCCCCATGTAGTGGGGCTGTGCCAGCACTGCACAGGTTAACTGCTCCTTTTATTCTAGGAGAGAGGACAACGAATATATATACTTACCTGATCCTCCGATCCTCCATGCACAAGACTGGTCCAGAACCCTATACGCCAGCAGTCTTGAAAATGGACTGTTCTTGATGACATCATGCCCAGAGCATGCTCCATAGACAGGAACTGTCTGAACTGGTGACAATACAACTCCAGGCGAAAGGTTTAGGCGCAATGTTAACCATCAACAAGCTGGAAAATACTGAACAAACTGATTTCCCAAAAAAGAAAATCTTTCCCAGGAGACGATCAATGAGAGATTTTATTGTTGTGAACGATGACACAGAAGTGGACAGTAGAACAGCTGTGGTATCTGTGTAAAATCTGCTATATCACAGAGCACATACAATGGGAAGCACCATATTTTTCGTTCCATAAGACGCACCTGACCATAAGACGCACCTAGATTTTAGAGGAGGAAAACAAGAAAAAAAAAATTCTGAACCAATGGACTGAGGACATAGTACAGGAGATGACCAGAGACTGCGGACACAGTACAGGAAATGACCAGAGACTGCGGACACAGTACAGGAGATGACCAGAGACTGCGGACACAGTGCAGGGGATGACCAGAGACTGCGGACACAGTACAGGGGATGACCAGAGACTGCAGACACAGTACAGGAGATGACCAGAGACTGCGGACACAGTACAGGAGATGACCAGAGATGACCAGTACAGGAGATGACCTGCGGACACAGTACAGTACAGATACAGAGATGACCAGAGACTGCAGACACAGTACAGGAGGAGATGACCAGAGACTGCGGACACAGTACAGGGAGATGACCAGAGACTGACCAGAGACACAGTACAGGAGATGACCAGAGTACAAGAGATGACCAGAGACTGCAGACATAGTACAGGGGATGACCAGAGACTGCAGACACAGTACAGGAGATGACCAGAGACTGCAGACACAGTACAGGAGATGACCAGAGACTGCGGACAGTACAGGAGATGACCAGAGACTGTGGATGCGGTACAGAGATGACCAGAGACTGCGGACACAGTACAGGAGATGACCAGAGATGGCGGACATAGTACAGGAAATGACCAGAGACTGCAGACATAGTACAGGAGATGACCAGACACTGCAGACATAGTACAGGAGATGACCAGAGACTGCGGATGCGGTACAGGAGATGACCAGAGACTGTGGATGCGGTACAGGAGATGACCAGAGACTGCGGACACAGTACAGGGAATGACCAGAGACTGTGGACATAGTAGAGGAGATGACCAGAGAGAGACTGCAGACATAGTAGAGGAGATGACCAGAGACTGCAGACATAGTACAGGAGATGACCAGAGACTGTGGATGCGGTACAGGAGATGACCAGAGACTGCGGTCACAGTACAGGAGATGAGCAGAGGCTGCAGACATAGTACAGGAGATGACCAGAGACTGCGGACATAGTACAGGAGATGACCAGAGACTGCAGACACAGTACAGGAAATGACCAGAGACTGCGGACACAGTACAGGGAATGACCAGAGACTGCGGACATAGTACAGAAGATGAGCAGAGAATGCGGACATAGTACAGGAGATGATGACCAGAGACTGCAGACCTTTGGGGAGGGGGGTCATTCACAAAGCGCAGTGGCACCCGGCTGTGAAGCTCCAAGCTGTCACAGCCGGGTGCCCACACTGAAGATGCTGGCGCCAGAGAGAGAAGACGGCTAATGGAAGGACACCACTGGACTGAGGAACAGGTTGGACGGAGGAGCGGGTTCTTCTACACAATGGCCGGCCTGGTATTCTAACACGGCGGCGGTGGGAATACATATTCGCTCTATAAGACGCACATACATTTTCCCCCATTTTTTGGGGGGAAAAAGTGTGTCTTATGGAGCGAAAAATACGGTAGATAACATTTCCACAAAATTACTAGATTTTAAATACTGCACTGGAAGTGCTGATTTTAGTGCCTTCTTGGCTTAGTCAAATTGGTCAGATCAATGGAAAAGTGTGGGCTTACACTTTATGTAGAAATGCACTTTCACCAAACTTGCCCCAAAGCCTGCCTGTATGATCTCATAAAAAAAAAACAATGATCTCTTCCACAGTGCTTATAGGTACAGAGTTTAATGAGGGCTTGCTTCAATCTGCTTTTACTGCTTGTTCAAAATCTGTAAATACTTTATAATGTATGTGATCTGAGCGCAGTTTCACGTTAAGGTAATTCTATATGCTTTGATCTTATTGGTTTATTACCGATGAGTATGTTTATTGGACAAAAATATTATTGATCTGATCTGTAAATCTTCTAGTTCTGTTTTTTTTTTTTTTTTTCTTACGATTGGCTATTGAAGACAAAAAATATAACTAGAAAACCTTTACTGTAGATAAATCCAGCACCATGGCCTGGCCACCTGCTTGCATTAACCTTTGCTATAAACCAGCCTTTCTCAACGAGGGTGCCCGGGCACCCCAGGGTACCTTGAGGTTTCTGTAGGGGTGCCTTGGCAAAATGTCTAAAAATTGCCCAAAATATGTATACAAGCCAACGGGTGGAACAAGCCTGACTTTTAGTTAGACAGTTGCAGGTTTTCATTGTGCACCATTACAACCTTCTAGCTGCCGGTGTCCTGACAACCAATGGTATCATCAGTTGATAAGGAGGATGTCCGCTGCCTGCACAGCATCCTAGTTTGACCCTCCCCTGCCCCTACCATCAGTGCTGGGGTCACATTAGCTCAGTGACGGAGGGAGAAGAGAAACAATGGAATACTAGTCAGTACCAGTGTGCAAAAGTGTATTTGCTTTGGAAGAATAAATTATCTCTAACATTTGGTGTCCTACGCGTGGAGATGTTGCTGCATTATGTAAAAATATTAGAATAGTTTTTCACGTTTTACAATGGGGTGTTCTTTTAAAATTGTGGACAGTCCTAAGGCACACTTTAATATTATGGACAGTCTTGAGGCACCCCATTCTAAAATGGGGTGCCTAAAGACTGTCCATAATTTTAAAGGGTGCCTCAGGACTGTCTATAATTTTAAAGGGTGCCTTGATTAAAAAAGGGTTGAGAAACACTGCTGTAAACAAGCTGCTCCCTGACACCTCTAGAGGGTTATAATTGAATACGGGAGATTTATTCTGCCTTCAAATGACAACTTAATTTGTGTATTTATTTTTTAGAGCACAGCAGGATGTTCTTCGAGCCAGGAAGAGTTTCTGGAACCTGGACTTGTTTGCAGTAATAATGCCTTTTCATGAGGGTAGCGGACTTTATCGCCCTCTGAAAGCGATTTGCTGTGATTGTTTTTCAGAGGCAGTTAAGCGGCAATTTGCTGGTGTCCAGGATACTACTGCCTCCTCAATGCAGTTTTTTTTTTTTCTTTCTACATTTATTTTACAATTAAATACCTCATTGCAATGACATGCCAAGCCTTTGGCGCATGGTTGTAGCACAGTTCCACTGACTTCACATTTGCCAAGCAGCTCCACATGCCAAATACAACATGCCAAGTTAAATGTGCTACATTGCAAAGCATCGCAGCAGCAGACCTGTGAACAGACCGCCATAATATTTTTAGGTTGGTGGTTGGGGGCAGTAAATATACAGGTCAATCGCCTGTTTTTTCCACAACTTTGCTGCTTATGTGAACCTAATGATAAAAATGATATAATCATGGATCATGCTTTTATATTTTTTCTGAGAAAATCCCACACAGCTCCTAAAGTGAAAAGGCATTTTTTTATATTTTCAACCATTTCAGAGCACATATGGTTTTCCACGTAGCTTAAGTCAGTAATTTGTGTCATATGGCTAGATACTGATATGAAAGTCGGAAATATTAAACTGTATATCATTTGCAATTCTGTCAAAGGATGTATTTGTTATTTTATTTTACAAATTATTAAAAACTGTATATCTTCCTTAGATATTTACTTGACAGACGAATGCGTTAAGATAACACGATTACTCATCTCCTGGTACACAATAAAACAAGCTATTTTCAAGAGACCGATGTCATCTTAATCATGAATTTGGAAATTAAGCGTTTCCATGTGCTCCAGTAGCCATAGATGTTCATAACTTCCAACTTTCTGAGAAGAGAAAGAGAGGCACCTCTTAGCACAAAGCATGTAAGCAAATAACCCCCTGCCATGTGCCCAGTTAGGTGGACCATGAATAATTGGTACACAAGAAACAAACAAGTAGTTTTTTACTACTTTTTACTTATATTGACTTTTTAAAATAAATGCAATAATTTAAAAGGGTAGATAAAAATATTAGTGTAGTTTATTACTTTTGGTAGTTAATTGGAACCTTTGTTTTTCTAAAGGTCTGTACATCAGGCCAAAAAGAGGGACAACTTTAGAGGAAATGGGGACAGAGGGATTTTGTTCAACAGAGAGAAATTTGGGATCTATGGATGTACAGTGCTCAGCATAAATGAGTACACCCCAACAGATTTGTCAGAAACCCTTTATTTTCCTTTCAAAATCAACATTTTCTATGGGACACTATACTACAAAATAATCTCACAAATGCGGGCCATTGATTGCAAACAAGATTTGTTAATTTGCACACATTATTTTTCCTAACAAATTCATTCAAGACCATGTTGGAAAAATGAATACACCCCAATGAAAGTTTTGGGAGCAAAGCTAAATTTTAACCACCTCCCGCCCGCCATATAAGGTAATCATGGGTGGGCAGCGGTTCTCTTGTTCTGGGAAGACGTCATATGACATCCTGCCATTTCTAACTGCGCATGAGCGCTGTCATGGACAGCAAGTCTGAACAAGGAGTAAATGTGAAATTCTGTGTGAAACTGGGCAAATCCACCACAGAGACGTTTGACAATGAGTCATTGAAGGTGTTTTGAGTGGCACGCACACTTAAAAAAAATCGAAGAACATCACGGGAAGACAGCAAGAAATCAGGAAGATCTTCAATGAGCTCAACACCAAAAAATGTAGAAAAAAATTTGGCAACTTGTGCATTATTGTTGGCGAACAATCCACAACATTGCTGCCATTGTTGGTGTGTCATACAGAACAATCCAGGTAATCCTCATGTGTGTTTTTAACATTGGCCATGTTGCTGCCAAGTTTGACCCCAGGCTGTTGACCCAGGAGCAGAAGGAACACTGCGTCGAAGTCTGCAAAGAACTCCATCAGCATGCTTTGGGTGACTCGACCTTCATGTCAAGGATCATTACCTGTGACAAAACTTGGGTGTACGGGTTTTATGCACAATTTCATGTTTACTCTTTGTTCTAACTTGCTGTCCATGGTGAAATAGCAGCTGTGGTAATATCTTGCTATAGCACCAGCTGCACAGCCTCCGATGTATACAGGACGATGTCTTTTAGCATACTGACTTATGAAGGCCGGTGCTCCCTGTGACTGTGTGTGCAGCCTTGTGCTACTATCTGTTGGCATGTTACAAAACGAATCTTGAAACTTTTTGATACCACCTTGTATACATGTAATTACAACTAATTATAACAATTAAAGTGTTTGTAAACCTCAGACATTAAATATAAATAAAGCATATCCCTCTATGGTGTGTCTCAATTAAGAGCAATACCTGTCAATTCTGTCTGTTGCTTCATTCCTATGCTATCAGCATTATTCACTTCTGACAAGTCTTTACGACACCAAGAGAAAAATGGTGACAGGGGAGGGAACTCCAGCAGATTGACAGCCTCAGCTCTGTTCCTGTGAACTGTGTGGAGGTGCATGTGTCTCTTCCCCTCCAATCAACTCTCAGAGGTCTCCTCACTGAGCTCTGCAGTGTGTAATTTCAGCTCTTCGCCCCCTTTTTTCTGAACTCTTAGAAAAGGTTTATAAACTTAGCACTTTGAACGCATGTAGAGAAGACTGTAGATAAACAGGTACAACTTATGTAGGAGGTTTTGTTTCATCTCTGTGTATCATCTGAGGCCAGTCACTTCACTGGGTATATGTAAGGGTTTCCAACCACTTTAACACATATTGATAAGACTGCAGATGCCTTTCACATGTATATTAAAAATAAATGAAAAAGACTTGTTCATCCCATCTGACAAGCAGAGTACCCCTCATTCTCTTAGTTGTACACTTAGTTCCGTGTGATTTGCATACCACATGATGAGAACCCCTAATCTACAGCTGATTGGTTGCTATTGATTGCTGTACTTTGCGAATCATCATACATTTTTTATGCAATAAAATGAATGAGTTATTACTGATGTAACAATGCTACTAAAGCTGGCAAATTCACTGGTTTCACTGGCAAGCACAACCATCTAATTCATGCTTCCAAAGGCGTTTAAATAGAACGCACCATTTCACCTCTAAAGTGGCAACTCACAGCCACAGGCAAAGTCACTTTCCTTTTTAAGATGTGGGTATGTCGAAAAGTTTTATTTAGAAATAAAAGCAGCTTAATGCATGCTTTCCCAAGACTTCAAACAAGTAATCTCTGCTAGCTCAGATTTCAGACTATCCAAAAACGACCAGATTCCAAGCAATAGATATATTTTGGGCAATATTTGCTTGGAAAAAAATAGTTTACTTATTTTCAACCACAACTATACAAGTTCAGTGCTGCATCCTGCTGCTGGCCTGAGTCCAGGGAAAAGGCTACATTACGTTGATGGGACAAGAATGTGCTTTCCTTTATTTTGTGTATATTCCATTTCTGTGTCCAAAAATCAAGCAATCTATCATTACCTTCTATGTAGTACTGCCTGTTGTGTCTATAGGACAGG